CATGCGCTGTCGTTAATGGGTTAAGCTACACGTTATAGTTTTTGCCTGCTTTTGCATCTTATGAAATCTCTAATCTCTTTCATTGCAATGTTTATTTGTGTAGTAATTTAATCCATTAAATCCATTAACACAATCCTTCTTTCCTTCACTCTCTAAAAGGTCATTTACAATTATGGAATGTCAGAAAAAATCTTTTTGCTTTTATTCTATTACCTTGTCACTGTTTGACTCTACTAATTGAAATAACATAGAACAGCAGACTTTAATCCATTCGGTGCACTTCGACATATGCGGATGAGATGTCAACAGCGGTAGTAAACTTCAAGGCGGTGAGCGTTTTAAAAACTTCTTTTTGCCATCTTTGTCTCATATGCAATCACACATACTCTCATGGTTTTTCTTTTAAATTTTGATAAAGCTGTGTCTTTTTCAGAATGTTTCCGGGGGCGATGATCGGGGTGAGGTCCAACAGACCGGGGAAAAGCAAAAACTCGGTCATCGCCGGATCGATGAACAGGGAGAGGTAAGATAACAAATACTTCTTTCATTTTCTTAGTTTTATTTATCTCTATGTGGGTGTTGACTTACTATTTTCACGCAAATTTAAGTCTATAAACAGCTGTTAATTTTTACGTTAATCGTTTCTTTGCGTTATATGTGGAAAAGTGGGTAAATGGGCTTTGTGGGACTGCTTCACTATACTGGCGTGACTTTGATTGATTAGTGAATATCTCTGCCGTTCTTTTAAGACCATTTGGAGTACGTGATATGTTATTCGATTTGCAAATTACTTTTTTAAGTTTCAGCATCAGAGATAATAGTCACGTTGAGATTGCGTAGAATCTGAGATGCATCCTGAATTGCTGAATAGTTTAACACCGTGGAAGACGTCGCGCTGCTAATTGTTAACGATTCTCAAGCCTCTGCCTGCCATGTTTCTGCTTTTTCGTAGAAAAGATTTTAATCTTACCCATGGAGATACTAAGATTCTATTGAAGCTGCTTCAATGAAGTTTATTCTGCTATATAATCATGGTCAAGGTTAGCAACAATTAATTATTTAGTAGACAGCTATAAAATTTCGATTTACAGCAGAGGCTAAGTAGTTTTGAAACTTACTTGAGTTTCTTGCCTATATAAACTTCTTTTTCAAAGTTTCACTTTTGGGACTTCTCGCACTTAGCCTTCTGTTTTACACGGGTTATTTTGATTTTTAGACGATCTTGTTGAGATTTATTGGTTCTCAGGGTTTTGTTTGAAATGCAAGACTCATGCGGATCAGTACCTGGTCTAGATCAATTCATCTAATTAATCACATTAGTTCAAATGTCCACTTCTTCAGGTCAGCTACAAAAAAGTTCCGACCAATGCGTTGATGAGCGCGATCCAGTTGGGGATCGCCAACTCTATCGGAAGCCTTGCATCACGACCAGATCGAGATCTACTGTTACAAGATTTCGAAAAGATCGAAAACGTGGCATTTCCAGCGTAAGTAATAAGAGAACATAGAAATGGTTCATTTTTGTAGGGCTAAAGAAACGGGCTGTTTGTGACATTTTCACCTCTTAGCTAAAATGTCTTTCATAAGCTGCTTGTTTTTGCTTTTACTTGAAATTTGCTTTTACTTGAAACAGCTTATCTACATACTAGTTGAACTATCTCTCTCATAATTTGTTTCTTGAAGATAAACTGAAATTTAAGTGCCGCTTGTTGTAAGTTGCTTTACTTCATGCATCCATAAACTTTGCCCCCATTTTGTTGCTGCTCTTTTCATGATTTGCGATAGATATTTCTTGAAATCCTAGCAACTTTGGTTTGTAATGGCATTTTTTGTGTGCTTCTATTTTAGATCTCTATTTTTCTTGATATGACTGACCAAATGCTTGTGCCCTAGAATTCCACTTTTCTAGCTTTTTTGATAGTAAACGTGAAGTGACTACACAGAGAATTTAGGTTTCATCACATTTCCATCGTTGTATAAAACTTCATTTGATGATCTCCTCACAAATATATAGCAATGGCAGGTTTAGGGCGGGTTCTGCGACGACACCATCGCATTCGTTTGGTGATTTTCGTTTCAAAACCTACGCGCCTATTGCGTTTCGTTACTTTAGAGAGCTGTTCAATATCAAACCTGCCGATTTCCTGGTGAGTTTCCTTCTCTTTAAATAGTTCATTACATACCAATT